TATAGACCAGGTTTTGACCGGGTTTAGACCTGGTTTAGACCGGGTTTAGACCTGGTTTAGACCGAGTTTAGACCAGGTTTACACCGGGTTTAGACCGAGTTTAGACTGGGTTTAGACTGGGTTTAGATCAGGCTTTAGTTCTGGTTTAGTCCTGGTTTAGTTCTGGTTTATTCTTGGTTTATTTTGTGGTTTGAAGCTGCGATTTGTTTTAAATTTCTACAGTTTATTCAGAAAAATCTCATAAATTGTAATTGTCCAAAATCAGGAAAAAAAACATCATTAAGGATTTTATTTATTTATTTATTGATATTTTATTTTTTATGATCATGTTTATTAATTAAAATTCTTGTTGTTTTGTTTTTCAGGGAGCTCCTGGGACCAAAGGCCCCCGAGGAGAGCGCGGAGAGACCGGTCCAGCTGTGAGTCTCTCTGTACAGAAATGACAGTGAAGTTTGTCTATTTTAGAAAATGATGAGGCTCCACCGTGTTTTTAAACTCCACACACCTTCACCACCTTCACATTTGGATCTTTTTAGTCCTGGAGCTGCAGTTTTTTTTTTGCAGTTCACGTGAAAACTGCAAAAACGTTTAAGATATAAACACTTAAATCTTTCAGAAAATAACTTCAAAATGGTGGAATTTATCTGTCCACACGGAAATTTAACTTCTTAAAATCATCTCAGAAATATTAATGACATAATAAATCTGAAAACAAGACGAAGAACCTGATAAAAGTTTGAAAGTTTTGGCCAGAGCAGAGAAATTTGTGGAGCGCACGGTGGAACATTTACAGAGTTTAGAGTTTTGGAGGAGAAGAAAAATCCGCGTGTGATTCGTTCATTTGTTTTTCAAAATAAAACAAAAAAAAAAAGAAAATGAAAATGAAAAAGAAAAAAACGATTTTCTTCATTATTTGTCTCCAAAACCAAAATTAAAAAACAGATAAAGATTTTTTTTTCAGTTTTCGATTTTTTGTTTAAATGGAAAATGGAAAAACGGATAATGGACTGAACAAGGACTAAACCAGGACTAAACCAGGACTGAAACCAGGACTCAAACAGGACTAAACCAGGACTCAAACAGGACTAAACTAACCAGGACTAACCAGGACTAAACCAGGACTAACCAGGACTGGAAACAGGACTAAACCAGGACTAAAGGACTGGAAAGGACTGAGGAACAGGACTTCGGGACCCAGGACCGGAACCAGACCAGGACTGATACCAGGACTTAGACCGGGACTGAGACCAAGACTGAGGCCGGGACCAGACTGGCACCAGACCATGATTGAGACAAGGCCCAGACTGGGACTTAGACCGAGACTGAGACTGAGGCTGGGACCAGACCAGGACTGAAGCTGGGACCAGACTGGGACCAGACCATGATTGAGACCAGGCCCAGACCAGGCCCAGACAGGGACCAGACTGGGACTGAGACCGGACCAGACTGGGACTGAGACCGGGACGAGACAAGGACTGAAAACAGTTTAGTCCTGGTTTCAGTCCTGGTTTAGTCCTGGTTTAGTCCTGGTTTAGTCCTGGTTTATTCCTGGTTTAGTCCAGTCCTGGTTTAGTCCTGGTTTTTTTCCATTTTTTTTTTCCATTTTTCATTTAAACACAAAATCGAAAACTGAAAAAACAAATCATTATCTTTTTTTAAAATTTTGGTTTTGGAGACAAATAATGAAGAAAACAGTTTTGTTTTTTTCTCTCATTTTTGGTTTTATTTTGAAAAACGCATGAACGAACGACACACAGATTGTGGAAAGACTCATAATAAAGAGATTCTCCAAACATGAAAAATGTGAATGAAACAAACACAAGTGCAGGTGTGTTTGTGAGGACTTGAAGCTCACACGAGTCGGGTTTAGATGAATTAGATGAAGTGTGGTTTAAAGACGAATGGGACGGTTGTGATTTGTGCGTTTGTCTTGATGAAGTGTCGTTGTCAGAGGTGGTTTTATGTACTCGGCCGTTCCGCGTCTTCTGTCTGAACCTGCCCAAAGTCTTCAGCTGAACCTGGCCCAGAGCGTCGTTTAAAGAAATAAATACAGTTGTGAAGTCGACGTTCAGACTGCCGCCGGAAGTGACCCCAATCTGATTTTTTTTTGGCCCCTGTGCTCCTGAATCTGATCTTTTAATGAGGATTTTTTGAAATGTGACCCAGGACACTTGGATCTGTGGTTTTGACATGTGACTTGAGTCTGAACGCTCAGGTCACATTCATCCCACCTACACGTCGAGCTCAGAGTCTCGTCAGTACATGCATCACAAACTTCCGTGCAATTTATTCTGGGAAGGATCCTCCGAAAAAGTGAGCATCAAACCTCCGTGTTTGTTTTCCCAGTGGGACGTGTCTGTTGTCAAAGTCGATCTTTTCAGGTCCTCGCTCGGTGTTTGTGGTGTATATATTTATTCTCTGTTCATGTTTGTGGTTCTGGTTCTGGGGTTTTTCTTCCTGATAATAACGTCGCTGTGTCTCTGGATACTCGTCCCTGATTGGTCGACGCGGCGTCTGACGCGAAAAGTTCAACATTTTCAACTTCTTGACGCTGACGCCTCGGACGCGCGTCTAGAGCGTCGACGCCAAAACGCTCAAAACGCGCCGCATCGACGCCAGACTCGCACCGCATTGACGCAGAAGACGCGCCGCAAAAACGCAGGACGCTCTAGTCGCGCGTCCACATCAACTTTACATAGAAACTGGACGCTTTGACGCTTTGGTGTGAACGAACCTTTAGGATCCAACAATCACACAATTAACAATGTCCGAATCCCAAAACTAAAACATGACAATATCAGAACCAGAAACAAAAGTGAAATGGTTCAAAAGACTTGAAAAGATCGACTTTGTCCAACAGACACATCCCACTGGGAAAACAAACATGGAGGTTTGATGAGCACTTTTTTAGAAAATTCTTCCAAGTGTGAATTGTGCGATGAACGGAAGTCTGAGATTCGGTTTACATGTTTATACATGTATACATGTATACATGTATACATGTATACATGTATTGGAGGAAAAATGAGTTTAAAGAGTTCATTCATATTTGAGGTGTTCGCTGTATTCAGGACAAATTGGAGGAGCTTCATCAGAACTGGGTGATTTTTGAAATGTTTGTCCAAAGAAACGTCCGAGTGCAGCTACAGACGAACCTGACTCCAGTGTCAACGAAAAATAAAGAACCTGCAAGAAAAATACAAGGAGACTAAAGACTCAAACAAAGGAAGCGGCCGTGGACGTGGGACCTGAACATTTTACCAACAACTGGACCAGATTTTGGAAGACGAGTCCAGAGTTTAGGCGACTTGTGTGACACTTTTGGGTTGTTTAAAGTTCACACTGGAGTCACACACAAGTCACTTTTAACTGGAAATGTGAACGACCTCGCAAAAAAAACAAAAAAAAACAGAATTGAGCTTTACACCCTGCAGTCTGAACGTAGTCTGACTGTATCTTCCTCTTCTCTCCTCTTCCTCAGGGCCCTATCGGACCTCGAGGAGACAACGGGCCCCCAGGACCCATGGGCCTCCCTGGACCTCAGGGCCCCAGCGGATTGTCCATCCCCGGAGAAGCTGTGAGTATCATCTGCCCCTCTCCTCTGCATCTTCTTACCCTCTGCTTCTTCATCTACTGCTCCTTTGACCTTCTCCTCTTCATCCTCTTCATCCACTTCATCCTCTGCTCTTTGGTCTTCCTCTTGTCTCTTTTATTCATATTTCTTTTGTTTTGTTTTCCAGGGGCGTCCTGGACCTAAAGGCGACCCCGGAGACTCGGGTCTACCTGGTCAGAAGGTGGGTCTGTGTGTGTTTGTGATGTTGTGGCTCCTCCTCGTGGTCTCCTCAGACTCTCCAGGTCTTGGACGGCTCCTCGGTCCAGGACGGAGACAGTTCTAATCTCTTTAATCCGACTGTAGCTCATGTGTCTGCGGCTCTTTACGAGGCGCTGACAGACGAGGAGGCCACAGGGAGTCACGAGTCTGAGGAACGCCGAGGTGTTCAGGGAACGCTGGAAAAACACGAGGGGAAGAGCCGCAGGGAGTCACGGGTCTGAGGAGTCACGGGTCTGAGGAGCTCAGAGAAGCTCAGGGGAAAAACACGAGCTGATTCAAGATTTAAGACGAACGTTTTTGTAAAAGCATTTTTACGACACAATTTAATACAACGATAAAACATCTCACGCTCACAGACCAGGACTGGATCCTGGACCAGGTCTGGATCCTGGACCAGGTCTCGAACCAGGTCTGGATGATGGACAAGGTCTCGAACCAGGTCTGGATGATGGACAAGGTCTGGAATCTGGACCAGGTCTGGAACTAGGTCTGGATCCTGGACCAGGTCTGGAACCAGGTCTGGATCCTGGACCAGGTCTGGATCCTGGACCAGGTGTGGAACCAGGTCTGGATGATGGACAAGGTCTGGAACCTGGACCAGGTCTGAAACTTGGACCAGGTCTGGATTATGGACAAGGTCTAAATCCTGGACCAGGTCTGAATCCTGGACCAGGTCTGGAACCAGGTCTGGAACCAGGTCTGGATCCTGGACCAGGTCTGGAAAAAGGTCTGAATCCTGGACCAGGTCTGAATCCTGGACCAGGTCTGGAACCAGGTCTGGATCCTGGACCAGATCTGGAACCAGGTCTGGATCCTGGACCAGGTCTTTCTGTAGTGAAAAGTCTTCTTTCGTTCCAGGGTCTTCCAGGACCTCCAGGCCCCGCTGGGACCCTTGGGACCGGCCGGAATCCGGGTGAGTGACAGTTTATAATCACACTGGGGGGGTTCTACATGTGTCTCTATGGTGGAAAGTTCAGCAGTTACTGTGGTCACAACGCACACATTAGAAAACACTGATAAAAAAGTTTCAGATTCTGTTTAGTTTAGTTTGATTTTCAACAAAAAGATGAAAGTGAAAAACTGTTGGCTAATGCTAATGCTAATGCTAATGCTAATGCTAATGCTAGAGGGACTTGTTTATCTGCACAGATTTTCTCTCCCGTTGACCTGAGTTCAGACAGTTCGGGTCTTTCGTTCAGATTGTGTTTAAATAAACTGGTGTTAAAGTGTTTGATGAAGCGTCAGACGCAGCAGTGCCTCTGTTAGCGTCTCGTCTCGCGTTGGTGACGTCAGGTTCAGTTTTTCTTCTTCTTTGTTCTGAAACTTTCACTTAAAAACTCGGTGCTGCCCCCTGCAGGGACCACAAGGGAAGGAAGGACCCGCCGGACCCAGAGGAGCTCCAGGTCCAATGGTGAGTCCAAGACCAGACCAAGACCAAGACCAGACCAAGACCAAAATCAAGACCAGACCAAGACCAAGACCAAGACCAGACAAGACCAGACAAAGACCAGACAAAGACCAGACCAAGACCAAGACCAAAATCAAGACCAGACCAAGACCAAGACCAGACCAAGACCAGACAAAGACCAGACCAAGACCAAAATCAAGACTAGAGCAAGACCAAGTCCAAAATCAAGACCAGACCAAGACCAGACCAAGACCAGACCAAGACCAAGACCAAAATCAAGACCAGAGCAAGACCAAGTCCAAAATCAAGACCAGACCAAGACCAAAATCAAGACCAGAGCAAGACCAGGTCCAAAATCAAGACCAGACCAAGACCAGACCAAGATCAAGATCAGACCAAGATCAAAACCTGACCAAGATCAATACCAGGCCAAGATCAAGACAAGACCAAGACAAGACCAAAACCAGTTCAAGACCAGTTCAAGACCAGTCCAAGACCAGACCAAAATCAAAACCCAAACCAAGACTAAACCAAGACAAGACCAAGACCAGACCAAGACCAAGACCAAGACCAAGACCAAGATCAAGACCAAGACCAAGACTAGAGCAAGGCCAGACCAGACCAAGACCAGACCAAGACCAGACCAAGAACAGACCAAGAAAAGACCAAGACCAGACCAAGACCAGACCAAGACCCAAACCAAGACTAAACCAAGACAAGACCAAGACCAGACCCAGACTGTACCTGACCTGAAGTATGTGTGTACTGACCTGGTTCTGGGCAAAAAAGGGTTATGGATCAGAAGGTTTCAGCTCTCAGAGGTCGACACCAGTAATAACACAATAATAACACATGAATAACACAGTAATAACACAGAATAACACATGAATAACACAGGAATAACACAGTAATAACACAATAATAACACATAATAACACATGAATAACACAGAATAACACAGGAATAACACATGAATAACACAGGAATAACACATGAATAACACAGACAGCAGTTTGTTGTTTATTAAAGGGCCCATATTTTCTATTTTCTGATCTGTTCTAATGTCGTTTCCTCGTCACAAACACACCTGCACGTTTAGGCTGAAAACACTCTGGTCCACCTCGTGATGTCATCATGTGGTGATACAGGAAGTGCTCCACTGCGTTTTTTAAACTCCACACACCTTCGTTAGAATCATTTGGATCAGTTCAGTCCTGGAGCTGCCGATCTCTACAGAACTAAAAGTAAAAGGAGCCGTTCACTTGAAAACTACCACTTCGTGACATCACAAGGTGGAGCGGAGCGTTTGGAGCTTTGGAGATGTAGACAGACGAATAATTGACATGTGAATGAAACGAAACACAAGTCCGGGTCTGTTTTTGATGAGGAAACAACATCGTAACTTGACTTAAAGCTCAGGAGTCGGTTTAATGTGCTACAGGAGTTTTACAGCGGGGGGGGGGGGGGTCACCAAAGTGTTTTCTCTGGGGCCACAGTTTGGCTCCTGACTGGGCCGGGGGCCGGGGTCAGGTCAGATGATGAAGGAACACACGCTGACGAGGAGCCAGGTCGACTTTCACCCGCCGAATCCCGTCTTCTGTCGTTTGCCCTCACATGCTCACGTTCTCTCTGTGCTCGGTTTAATAATGACGACGCAGAGTAGATTCTCTGAAAACCTCCACATTTTCTTTACAGATCAGAAAAACTGCACGCTTCTCATACTGAACAAAAAAAGTAATCCGTCTGCTGTTCTTTGAAAAGTCGGCGCTTTAGGTCAACTTTTCGTATATTTTAAAACTCGTCGTTTTGCCGTCCTTATCCGCACTACAGAACTCTGCGCGTGCGTCGACTGGCACCGTTCGATCTCCTCGAGTTTGTCACGTGACGAAAATCCAGCGTTCATCGGAAATACGTCGTATAACTAATTAAATATAAATATAAATACTTCGTATAAATATCGTGTTTTGATTGAAAACAACAACAACAAAATAATAGAAGATGCAGACGTGTTATTATTTGCCAAAAAAGTAAATTAAAAAAATAGACCAGGCCTTAGTTTGATGACCCCCAGTGTAATAACAGCACAATAACAGTGTAATAACAGCACAATAACAGTGTAATAACAGCACAATGTAATAACAGTAAATACAGTAATAATAACAGTAATAACAGTGTATTAAGTGTATTAAGAGTGTTTTGAGAGTGAAAGTGACACACAGTACAGGCGAGTTTCATTGTTGACAAAAGCGCGCGTTGCATGCTGGGAATTATTTTGGTCGGCGGCAAGAAACACTAATTGAACATGACGGACGGAGCGAGAAAGTATGTAAAGGGTGTTGATCCTGGTTATTTATCCAGTCTAACGGCAGACGACCCAAGACCATTTGACCAGAAATTGGTCATAAACATCGACGGACGACAAATCACCCTTTTCAACCCCGACAAAAGGTGGAACAAACCAAATTTCTGGTCAGAATCTCCAACTACCTGGACAAATATTCACTTGGGCGACATCCACAATGACTTGGTGGAAACTCCTGGGCCATTCACAGCAGAAAAGATGAAAACCTCCAAGAGTCTGGATGTGTTGTTGAACTTGTTGAGTCCACGGTTTGTTAGGATCTTCTACGTTTGCTCTGCGGATGTTTGAAAGTCGTTTAATTCACCGTTAGCGGTTCTTTTCACTCAGAATATGAAAAAGACATTTTCCTTCTTCCGTGCTTCTATTTGTGCGTCCGATAATGCAGCAGGAATTTATTTAAGGTTACACACTGTGTTTGACGCTACTGTGTTTCTTGCCTTCGACCAAAATATTTCTCAGCAGCAACACAGGCTTTTAATAACAATGACGTCAGCTGAAACTCGCCTATAATAACAGCACAATAACAGTATATTCATAGTGTATTAAGAGTTTATAAAGAGTGAAAGTGACACAGTGTAAAATCCAAACTCTCGTCGTCTGCAGAAACAGTGTTGAGCTCCACAGTGAAAGTATTTTGACCTGAGCTTCAGTGATTTGTTTTCCAAAAATAAATATGGACAAATCAACAACAATAAGAAGAAGGTGGACAAAGACAGACCAGTGCCAACAGGTCAACTCGCCAACACTACAACGCACCAACACTACAGCGCACCAACACTACAGCGCGCCAACATGTCAACATGCCAACAGGTCAACTCGCCAACACTACAACGCGCCAACACTACAACGCACCAACACGTCAACACGCCAACGCTACAACGCACCAACGCTACAACGCACCAACACGTCAACACGCCCAACACTACAACACGCCAACACTACAACGCACCAACACTACAACGCACCAACACTACAACGTGCCAACACTACAACGCACCAACACGCCAACGCTACAACGCACCAACACTACAACACACCAACACGTCAACACTCAACTCACCAACGCTACAACGCACCAACACTACAACGCACCAACACTACAACGCGCCAACGCTACAACGCACCAACACTACAACACGCCAACACGCAACGCACCAACACGTCAACAACCTCAACTCGCCAACACGTGCCAACGCTGCAACGCACCAACACTACAACGCACCAACACGCCAACTCGCCAACCCTACAACGCACCAACACTACAACACGCCAACGCACAACGCACCAACACTACAACACACCAACACGTCAACACCTCAACTCACCAACGCGCCAACGCTACAACGCACCAACACTACAACGCACCAACACCTCAACTCGCCAACGCTACAACGCACCAACACTACAACACACCAACACGTCAACACCTCAACTCACCAACGCGCCAACGCTACAACGCACCAACACTACAACGCACCAACACCTCAACGCGCCAACGCTACAACGCACCAACACTACAACACGCCAACACTACAACGCACCAACACGTCAACACCTCAACTCGCCAACGTGCCAACGCTGCAACGCACCAACACTACAATGCACCAACACGCCAACACACCAATCGCCACGCTACAACGCACCAACACGCCAACTCGCCAACGCTACAACGCACCAACACTACAACACGCCAACTCGCCAACGCTACAACGCACCAACACTACAACACGCCAACTCGCCAACGCTACAACGCACCAACACTACAACGCGCCAACGCTACAACGCACCAAAGCTACAACACGTCAACACGCCAACACTACAACGCGCCAACACTACAACGCGCCAACACTACAACGCACCAACACGTCAACACCTCAACTTGCCAACGCTACAACGCACCAACACTACAACGCACCAACACGTCAACACCTCAACTTGCCAACGCTACAACGCACCAACACTACAACGCACCAACACGTCAACACCTCAACTCGCCAACGTGCCAACGCTGCAACGCACCAACACTACAACGCACCAACACGCCAACACACCAACTCGCCAACGCTACAACGCACCAACACGCCAACTCGCCAACGCTACAACGCACCAACACTACAACTCGCCAACGCTACAACGCACCAACACTACAACACGCCAACTCGCCAACGCTACAACGCACCAACACTACAACGCGCCAACGCTACAACGCACCAACACTACAACACGCCAACTCGCCAACGCTACAACGCACCAACACTACAACACGCCAACGCTACAACGCACCAACACTACAACGCGCCAACACTACAACGCACCAACACTACAACGCACCAACACGTCAACACCTCAACTTGCCAACGCTACAACGCACCAACACTACAACGCGCCAACACTACAACGCACCAACACGTCAACACCTCAACTTGCCAACGCTACAACGCACCAACACTTACAACGCACCAACACGGCAAACACCTCAACTTGCCAACGCGCCAACGCACCAACACTACAACGCACCAACACGCCAACACGTCAACACGCCAACACTACAACGCACCAACACTACAACGCACCAACACGCCAACACTACAACACGCCAACGCTACAACGCACCAACACGTCAACACGCCAACACTACAACGCGCCAACACTACAACACGCCAACACGTCAACACCTCAACTCGCCAACGCACCAACGCTACAACGCACCAACACTACAACACGCCAACTCGCCAACGCTACAACGCACCAACACTACAACACGCCAATGCCACAACGCACCAACACTACAACACGCCAATGCCACAACACGCCAACGCTACAACACGTCAACACGCCAACACTACAACACGTCAACACGCCAACACTACAACGCACCAACACTACAACGCACCAACACTACAACACGCCAACACGTCAACACCTCAACTCGCCAACGCTACAACGCACCAACACTACAACGCACCAACACTACAACACGCCAACACGTCAACACCTCAACTCGCCAACACTACAACACGCCAACACTACAACACGCCAACACCTCAACTCGCCAGCTCACCTACAAACAGCCCCTGCAGACACTAGAACTTTTCACAGATCAAAGTTTTACCTGAGCACATGTCCAAAGGGGTGTGTCTGTGCACCTGTCTCTGCTCCTGTCTCTGCACCTGTCTCTGCACCTGTCTCTGCACCTGTCTCTGATCCTGTCTCTGCACCTGTCTCTGCACCTGTCTCTGCTCCTGTCTCTGCTCCTGTCTCTGCACCTGTCTCTGCACCTGTCTCTGCACCTGTCTCTGCACCTGTCTCTGCTCCTGTCTCTGCACCTGTCTCTGATCCTGTCTCTGCTCCTGTCTCTGCACCTGTCTCTGCACCTGTCTCTGCTCCTGTCTCTGCACCTGTCTCTGATCCTGTCTGTTGTTCCAGGGACCTCCAGGATCTCCAGGAGTCCAGGGAAATGCAGGAACTCCGGGAAAACCAGGAGACAACGGTACACCTGTGAGTTCAGTCATCTGTACTACTACTACTACTACTACTACTACTACTACTACTACTACTACTACTACTACTACTACTACTACTACTACTACTATTACTACACTGCAGTACTTTGATTTTGTTTGTTATGTCTCAGGGTCCGGCCGGTCTGAAGGGAGACAAAGGAGAGAGAGTGAGTTTTGCATTTTATATCCTCCTTTAGAATAAACATGATGTGGTGAAAGTATCATAAGAGCCCATGTGAAGTCCTGTTGTAGTCCTGGTTCAGTCCTGGTTCAGTCCTGGTTTAGTCCTGGTTCAGTCCTGGTTTAGTCCTGGTTCAGTCCTGGTTTAGTCCTGTTCAGTCCTGGTTTAGTCCTGGTTTAGTCCTGGTTCAGTCCTGGTTTAGTCCTGGTTCAGTCCTGGTTTAGTCCTGGTTTAGTCCTGGTTTAGTCCTGGTTCAGTCCTGTTTAGTCCTGGTTCAGTAGTCCTGGTTCAGTCCTGGTTCAGTCCTGGTTTAGTCCTGGTTTAGTCCTGGTTCAGTCCTGGTTTTAGTCCTGGTTTAGTCCTGGTTTAGTCCTGGTTCAGTCCTGGTTTAGTCCTGGTTCAGTCCTGGTTCAGTCCTGGTTCAGTCCTGGTTTAGTCCTGGTTAGTCCTGGTTCAGTCCTGGTTCAGTCCTGGTTTAGTCCTGGTTTTAGTCCTGGTTTAGTCCTGGTTCAGTCTGGTTTAGTCCTGGTTTAGTCCTGGTTTAGTCCTGGTTCAGTCCTGGTTAGTCCCCTGGTTCAGTCCTGGTTTAGTCCTGGTTCAGTCCTGGTTCAGTCCTGGTTTAGTCCTGGTTCAGTCCTGGTTTAGTCCTGGTTTAGTCCTGGTTTAGTCCTGACTGAGTCTTGTTGTTTCAGGGAGACTTTGCTCCTCAGAACATGATGCGTTCGATCGCTCGTCAGGTCTGTGAACAGATCGTCAACTGTGAGTAAAACAAACTGTGTCGACTCAGGATCATTTAAGTCTGACTCATTTACTCCTGTTTATTAAATAAACCCCGACTCTCTCCTCCTCTTCTTCTCTCTCTTCTCTCTCTCCGTCCACAGCTCAGATGAGTCGTGTGAACACTCTTCTGAATCAGATTCCAAACGGTCAGTACCGCAGCAGTAACAACCCCGGACCCGCGGGGCCCCCAGGACCATCCGGACCCCAGGGACCCAGAGGAGAGCCAGGACCCGCCGGGCGCAACGGCTTCCCAGGAAGCCCAGGACAACAAGGCCTGCAGGGAGAGAGAGGTGAGGAGGGAGAGAGGGAGGGAGGGAGGAGGGAGAGAGGGAGGAGGAGGGAGGAGAGGAGGAGAGAGAGGGAGGGAGAGAGAGAGAGAGAGGAGAGGGAGAGGAGAGGAGGAGGGAGGGGGAGGGAGAGGAGAGGGAGGAGGGAGGAGGAGAGAGAGAGGGAGAGAGGGAGAGAGAGGGAGGGAGGAGGAGAGAGAGAGAGGGAGAGGGAGAGAGGAGGAGAGGAGAGGAGAGAGGGAGAGAGAGAGAGGGAGAGGGAGAGAGAGAGAGAGAGGAGAGAGAGAGAGAGGGGAGAGGAGAGAGAGAGAGAGGAGAGAGGGAGGAGGGAGAGAGAGGAGAGGAGAGAGGGAGAGAGAGGAGGGAGAGGGAGAGAGAGAGAGAGAGGAGAGAGGGAGAGAGAGATGGAGATGGAGAGGGATGGAGGAGGGATGGATGGAGGGATGGATGGAGAGATGGATGGAGAGATGGATGGATGGAGATGGATGGATGGAGGGATGGACAGAGTGTGTAGATCTGCTGCTGCTGTAGATTTTTATTTCTCTGAGTTTAATCTGATCTTGGATCAAGTGTCACATAAACTGTGTGTCTCCTCAGGGCCTCCAGGAGAGAAGGGAGACAGAGGCACATCTGTGGTGGGATCCAAGGGCCCCCGAGGCCCCCCAGGTCTGTACATCACACTGTAATAACACTGAGGCCCCCGAGGGCCCCAGGTCTGTACATCACACTGTAATAACACTGAGGCCCCCGAGGCCCCCCAGGTCTGTACATCACACTGTAATAACACTGAGGCCCCTGAGGGCCCCCAGGTCTGTACATCACACTGTAATAACACTGAGGCCCCGAGGGCCCCAGGTCTGTACATCACACTGTAATAACACTGAGGCCCCTGAGGGCCCCAGGTCTGTACATCACACTGTAATAACACTGAGGCCCAGGCACTGTACATCAACACTGAGGCCCCCGAGGTCCCCAGGTGTACATGTATAACACTGAGGCCCCTGAGGGCCCCAGGTCTGTACATCACACTGTAATAACACTGAGGCCCCTGAGGGCCCCAGGTCTGTACATCACACTGTAATAACACTGAGGCCCCTGAGGGCCCCAGGTCTGTGTGAGACACATTAGACAATAAAACTCTTATATTTCCTGAGACACACTCAGGTAATTCCCCACTGTTACCTAGCAACAGGACTGTTGTCAGGTTCAGGACCAGGACCTGGTTCAGTCCTGGTTTAGTTCTCGTCCAGTCCTGGTTTTGTCCTGTTTCAGTTCTGGTTCCTGGTCTAACCTCTCTTCTCTCTCAGGACCTCCCGGTGAGTCCAGGACCGGGCCCCCGGGCCCCCCTGGCGCTGCCGGTGCCCGTGGACCCCCGGGCAGACAGGGGTACCCGGGTATCCGCGGGCCCCCCGGTCCGGCCGGGTACTGCGACTCGTCTCAGTGTGTGGGCATCCCCTACAACGGCCAGGGCTACGCCGGTGAGTCCCACATCGGGTTTAGACCCAACGCGGTTTAAACTAGTCTGGATTAACTCAACCCAACCTCAGGCACCGCAGAGTCTGGACGGAGGACTGAGACCTGGTTTAGACCTGGTTTAGACCTGGTTTAGACCTGGTTTAGACCTGGTTTAGACCTGGTTTAGACCTGGTTTGGGCCTGGTTTTGACCTGGTTTAGACCTGGTTTAGACCTGGTTTGGGCCTGGTTTAGACCTGGTTTAGACCTGGTTTAGGCCTGGTTTAGACCTGGTTTAGACCTGGTTTAGGCCTGGTTTAGACCTGGTTTAGTCCTGGTTTAGACCTGGTTTTAGACCTGGTTTAGACCTGGTTTAGACCTGGTTTTGACCTGGTTTAGACCTGGTTTAGACCTGGTTTAGACCTGGTTTAGACCTGGTTTTGACCTGGTTTAGACCTGGTTTAGTCCTGGTTTAGACCTGGTTTAGGCCTGGTTTAGGCCTGGTTTAGACCTGGTTTAGACCTGGTTTAGACCTGGTTTAGACCTGGTTTAGACCTGGTTTAGACCTGGTTTAGGCCGTTTAGTCCTGGTTTAGGCCTGGTTTAGAGACCTGGTTTAGACCTGGTTTAGGTTTACCTGGTTTAGACCTGGTTTAGACCTGGTTTAGACCTGGTTTAGACCTGGTTTAGACCTGGTTTAGACCTGGTTTAGACCTGGTTTAGACCTGGTTTAGACCTGGTTTAGACCTGGTTTAGGCCTGGTTTGGTTAGACCTGGTTTAGACCTGGTTTACCTGGTTTAGACCTGGTTTTTTACCTGGTTTAGACCTGGTTTAGACCTGGTTTAGTCCTGGTTTAGACCTGGTTTAGCCTGGTTTTGGTTTAGGTTTAGACCTGGTTTACTGGGGTTTAGACCTGGTTTAGGCCTGGTTTATGGTTTACCTGGTTTACCTGTGGTTAGACCTGGTTTAGCCTGGTTTGACCCTGGTTTATGGTTTAGGCCTGGTTTAGTCCTGGTTTAGGCCTGGTTTAGACCTGGTTTAGGCCTGGTTTAGACCTGGTTTAGACCCGGGTTAGACCTGTTTTAGTCGTGTTGGTCTCGGTCTCGGTCTCTCGGTGTCTGGGTCAAATGCATGTGTTTAACTCAAACTAAACCTGCATTTTGACATGATTAATCCTGACTCATGTTTTTAAGCCTGACTAACTGTGATGCGTTCGCTGCCCTGACCTCTGGCTCGTCATTTTCAGGTTCACGCCGTTAAAGAGTTTAACTTTCACTCAAACGCAGCACGGCACTAACCGGTCCAAACCACCCGACCGCCGCTCAGCCCGTCCCCGCCCCCGAGCCCGTAACCTCTCACCAAGTCCGACTAACCCAGACCGGATCATCTAAGCCTGAGTTACTCACAGCAACCCTGAGTCTGAACCACACCGGGAAGAGCTCAACCCTCTGTAAACCTCACCCGCGGGTTTTAGTTGAACCACACGCTGGGTTTTTCCCCTCGCCGTCCCCCTGCTCTAATGTGACGTGATGTTCCGCAGTGAGGCTTTAAAGGAGCTCGGACAGTTTTAAAGAAAGAAACGAGTCACGATCAGAGTTTGTCTCAGTTTCGGTTTACGTTCAGGCATCGCGTGAAGCTCAGAACCTCCAGAGCTGCCTCCTCCTCCTCCTCCTCCTCCTCCTCCTTCCTGATCCGCAGACGCCGCACTAGCACCGCCTCAGGACCGGTGCGGGTTCTGGGGTTCAGGGAGCAACCGTTCACATCACAGAGAGAAGCGTTTTAGGTTTAAACCAACTGGGATTTCGGCTTTGAACCAGCAAAACCCCGAACGAGAACGAGAACGACACGCGTGAGGCTCGTTCCGCTTCCGGTCGGAGAATCGTCCGGAACCAAAACGCCAAATTATCGACGTCACAAACCAGGAAGACGTTCGGAAACACGCGACGGCGGCGACGACTTCCGGCGGCCTCAAAGTCTGACAAAATCTAGGAAAAAAAAAATGAGAAAATGTCCCGGTTCGGATAATCGACAATTCCAACCTTCTCTAAATTTTGATCGTTTCCCCGCTGACGCAGAACGTACCCGAGCGCTCTGGGAACACGCGATTAGAAAAGATACGGACGATCATTTGTTCCGTCAGATTTTGAATTTTAAATACGACAGAATTTCTCACTTTGAATTTTTTTTAACTCTGAAAAAAAGATGTTTGAATTATTTTTATTCTGAATTTTAGTGGCCGAAATTTGAAGTTTACTTTCAATTCAAAATAAACACACACAAAAAAAATAAATAAATAAAATAAATCACCACAGATATTTTCAAGCCCTTGAAAAAATTCACAAGTCGAAATTCAGAACGTAAAATTCGCAACGAAAAATTTCACAGCAAAAATCCAAGATGCCAAGGCAGAAGCAATCGATCACGTGAGCGAGGAGGACAGAGGCTGTTTCCTATTGGCTGTTCTCATTCTGTGGGCGGGGTTTACACTTAACCAATCAAAGAGATGAGGTTTTGATGAGGTTAATTTTGACCAATCAGATCGCGTCACTACAACATTTCCTGTTTCTTACTAAGTTCGATCGATTCACTTTGGATCGATTGCTTCTGCCTCGGCATCTCGGATCGACTGAATTTTGACTGTTGAATTTGAAGGCTTGAAAATATTTGTGCTGAATATTTGAAAAGGTGATTTTTTTTTTTTTATATATATATTGAATTTCAGCAAACAAAAATTCATAATAAAAATAATTCAAACGTGTTTTTTTCAGAGTCAGCAGCTTTTAAAATTCAAAATCGGATGAAACGAATGATCTTCCGTAAAAAGACGAGATGAGTCCAAACGGCGCGTACGTCTGCAGGTTTCATTTTCCCGCCGAGCACGTTTACTCCAGCGGGTTTGGATTTTGGATTTTGTCAGACGTCCCACAGCGAACAGAGCCCAAAGGAAGTCGACATCGCACGTTTCCAAAACATCTTCCCGGTTTGTGACGCCAACGTGAATAAAGCCGACGAGAACAGAAATAAATGAGTCGTCAGAATCCGCGTGGCGTTCGTTCGTTCATTCGTTCATTCGTTTTTGTTTTGTTTTTTCAAAGTAAAACCAAAAATAAGACGAAAAACGAAAAAAACTACTTTTTTTTTCATTATTTGTCTCCAAAACCAAAATGAAAAAACAGATAATAATTTGTTTTTCCATTTTTTGATTTTGTGTTTAAATGAAAAATGGAAAAAACAGATAACGGACTAAACCAGGACTAAACCAGGTCTAATACAGGACTAAAAGAGGACTGAACCAGGACTAAAACAGGACTAAAACAAGACTAAAACAGACTAAACCAGGACTAAAACAGGACTAAAACAAGACTAAACTAGGACTGAACCAGGACTAAAACTGGACTAAAACTGAACTGAACCAAGACTGAACAAAGACTGAACCAGGACTGAACCAGGAATAAAACAGGACTAAACCAGGACTAAAACAGGACTGAAACAACACTAAAACAGGACTAAAACAAGACTAAACTAGGACTAAACCAGGACTAAAACTGGACTAAACCAGGACTGAACCAGGACTAAAACAAGACTAAAACTGGATTAAAGCAGGACTAAAACAGGACTAAAATAAGACTGAAACAAGACTAAACCAGGACTAAACTGGTCTCAGTCCTGGTCTCATTCCTGGTCCTGGTCCTGGCCTGGTCCCGGTTTCAGTTTTGATCTGGTCCTAGTCTCTGTCCTGATCACCCGACAGTCTACACCAGTCCTTCCCGACACTTGTGGTCCTGGTTTAGTCCTGTTTTAGTCCTGTTTTAGTCCTGGTTTAGTCCTGGTTTAGTCCTTTATCCCGGAAACGTCAATTATTCATTTAAACACAAAATCAAAAAGAATATTGTTGTTTTTTTAATTTTCTTATTTTTGGTTTTATTTTGAAAAACAAACGAACGAGCGACACGCGGATTCGTCGGGTTCGGTGTTTTCGTGATTCGAACAAATCGGCGTCAGAAAAGTTCTGAGTAAAAGCTGCATTCGGGTCAGGTTACATTTAAGGCTGTTCTGACGCGAGGAAATGTCCCACAGTGGAGCTTTAACCCCGTTCTCCCGGAGTCGTGTTTTTTTTTTGTTTTTTTTTTGAGGTTTACAAAGGGTTCAGTTTAAAAAGTGTGAAACGACTTCTCTGCTTCAAAACTCACGGCTCACACACTCACGTATCCACACACACGCTTTCTTATCTCTCTGTATTTCTCACTATTTTATTTTATTTTATTTTTATTTTATTTTATTTTATGAAAACTGGAAAACGGCGAAAGCAAAGAGGCGGGTCCACACGTCAGCCGATCGGACGAGACTTCAGACGACAAGAAAAACAAACTGATTTAGTGTTGAAATCATCATCATAATAAAAATAATAATAACGCCGTAAAATACCAAATAATATCCGGGGCGTTTATTTGTTTCAGTCATTTAACGGACCAGGCTTTTATTTGAGACCAGGCTTTTATTTGAGACCAGGCTTTTAGGCTTTTATTTGAGACCAGGAGATTCATTCCGTCCTCGCAAAAATCTTGATTATTTACAGTTTTGCGATGACCCGGCGAGTACTTTTCACGATTCCCGCCGCCTCGTCCTCGTCCGTTTCTTTTTCCTCGCACCTTTGCCGCGACTTTTTACCAATTTTATCAAATCATTTAACCAAAACTTCTTCCATTTCCTGCCCGTGATCAGTGTCGGGAAGTTTACTTTTAAAATGTAATCCCCTACAGATTACAGATTACACACACCAGAATTTAGTTTGTAACAGAATCCGTTAAGTTACTTTAGGTGAGTAAAGTAATCTGATTACTTTGGATTACTTGGTTTGTTGTAGAGAAGCAAAGACGAGGAAATTGTAACAGAAAATGTTTTGTCTGATAAAAGAAAATAAAAAGTCCAGACTTTACTGAACCAAATTAAAAATATTATTGACAGAAGAAGAAGAGACACGTCCACACAGCAGGATTTAGTCCTGGTTTAGACCTGGTTTAGACCTGGTTTAGACCTGGTTTTCCTGGTTTAGACTGGTTTAGACCTGGTTTAGTCTGGTTTAGTCCTGGTTTAGATCTGGTTTTAGACCTGGTTTAGACCTGGTTTAGACCTGGTTTAGTCCTGGTTTAGATCTAGTTTAAATCTAGTTTAGATCTAGTTTATACCTGGTTTTAGTCCTGGTTTAGACCTGGTTTAGTTCTGGTTTAGACCTGGTTTAGACCTGGTTTAGACCTGGTTTAGTCCTGGTTTAGTCCTGGTTTAGATCTGGTTTTAGACCTGGTTTAGACCTGGTTTAGTCCTGGTTTAGATCTAGTTTAGATCTAGTTTATACCTGGTTTTAGTCCTGGTTTAGACCTGGTTTAGACCTGGTTTAGACCTGGTTTAGTTCTGGTTTAGACCTGGTTTAGACCTGGTTTAGTCCTAAGAACTTTTACACCCTGAGATTTGGTCGTACAGTGAGTGAAAATCACCCTCTTGTTGTGAATATCGCTGAAGTGAATATTTGTCCAGGTAGTTGGAGATTCAGACCAGAAGTTTGGTTTGGTCCAGGTTTTGTCGGGGTTGAAAAGGGTGATTTGTCGTCCGTCGATGTTTATGACCAATTTGTGGTCAAATGGTCTTGGGTCGTCTGCCGTTAGACTGGATAAATAACCGGGATCAATACCCTTTACGTGCTTTCTCGCTCCGTCCGTCATGTTGAATTAGTGTTTCTTGCCGCCGACCAAAATAATTCCCATCATGCAACGCACGCTTTTGTCAACAATGAAACTCGTCTATAATTAGAGTTTTTATTGTCCCGGAGGAAGTGGGTCTGACAGAACGATCCAGACTCTAAACCGTCTCTAAACACGACGCCCCGGGTCGTCTCCGAGTCTCCGTCCCGTCAGAATAAAAGCGCTCGGCTCCGACACCGTGGCCCCGCCTCTTTCGCCCGCCTTTTATTTTGAAAGAGTCAGCTCCTCTTCCTGTCGCCTCAGGCCAGTCCCCGGTCCGGTCTCTGGACCAGACCGCGCCCCGGGTCCAGAGGAGGTCTCTAAGAACCAGGACTTAGCTTTGCACACGGCCCTCTGCTTCCGCCCGACCCTCCTGAAGCGACAGCGCCACCACCTGGAGAGGCTCATGTGTCTGTGAATATTTGTGTGGGAATGAAAGGGTCAAAGGAGCGAGCGACGGCGGCCGGAAGGACAAACCGCTCCAACTCATGACGTACACAAACTTTATTTCACTTCATTTAAAGACAAAAAACTATTCAACCAATCAACATCCACCGCTCTGACACGGCCCGGTTTAGTCCTGGTTTAGTCCTGGTTTAGACCTGGTTTAGACCTAAAATTGGCCTGTTTTAGTCCTGGTTTAGTCCTGTTTTAGAGAGCTGTTTTAGCCTGTTAGTCCTGGTATAGTTCTGGATGAGGCTTTGATTAATGAGTCCTGGTTTAGACCTGGTTTAGACCTGGTTTAGACCTGGTTTAGACCTGGTTTAGACCTGGTTAAGTCCTAAAATGGGCCTGTTTTTGTCCTGTTTTAGTCCCAGTTTAGTCGTGTTTTAGACAGTTGGTTTAGTCTTGGTCCAGTCCTAATACAGTCCTGGGTCTTTGATTAATGAGTCCTGGTTTAGACCTGGTTTAGACCTGGTTTAGAGACCTGAAATTGGCCTGAAATTGGCTTGGTTTAGTCCCAGTTTAGTCCTGTTTTAGAGAGTTGCTTTAGCCTGTAAGTCTTAGTATAGTTCTGGATTAATCTTTGATTAATGAGTCTGATTAGTTATGGTTTAGTCCTGGTTTAGTCCTAAACTGGGTCTGTTTTAGTCTCACTTTAGTCCTGCTTTTAGAGAGCTGGTTTAGACTTGGTCCAGTCCTAGTACAGTCCCGGGTCTTTGATTATTCTGGTTTAGACCTGGACCTGGTTTAGACCTGGTTTAGACCTGGACCTGGTTTAGACCTGGTTTAGACCTGGTTTAGACCTGGACCTGGTTTAGACGTACGAGACCCACTTTAACCAATCACCGTCCACCTCCACGATCCAAAAACTTACAGAGGAGGTTTTGTGCCAAATTCACTTTTTATGTTTGTTTTTTTTTAGCTTTATCCATGCGCTCTGAAGGGGGAGTGACTTAGCACGGGGAGCAAAGAAAGGGGAGACTCAGAATGTTGAAAACAAAAGTGAAACGAAACAATAAAAGGAAAAAAACACTTCAGTTTTAAATGAAAATACATTAAAAAAACAACATTTTCCTGCACCACAAACACGATTTAAAAAAGTAGAAATATTTAAAAATGGAACGTAGAAAAGATTAAATAAAATGTGTGAGTTTCTGGGCCGTTGTTTTTTTTTTTTGGAGCTGTGTCCTTCAGGGCCGCCGTAGCTCTGTGGGTTTGGAGATAGTTTTTTCTTTTTCTTTTTTTTTTTTTTGGTAAATGATTTGTGCGTTTGCGTGTAACATATGAGCTTCAGTTAAACCTGTGTCACGTCCCTTTAAGAGAAAACACGACGTCGCCCTCCTGTGGTCACATGACGCCGTCCTGTGGTCACATGACGCCGTCCCGTGGTCACATGACGCCTCCTGTGGTCACATGACATCATCTGTGGTCACATGACGCCGTCCCGTGGTCACATGAACGTCATCGTGGTCACATGACGCCGTCCGTGGTCACATGACGCCCTCCTGTGGTCACATGACGTCATTTCGTGGTCACATGACGCCGTCCCGTGGTCACATGACGTCCTCCTGTGGTCACATGACTCTGTACTTTTACATAATGTTTATTTACGTGTTTATTTCATTTACGCTGTTGTCGTCGTCGTCGTCGTCGTCGTTGTCGTTGTTGTTCTCATCACATCAGGAGTCAGTTTGAATCAGCCCAATTTCTTATTTATTTCAGGAACAAAAGAGGCATTTTTCAATAAAACTACTGAAAATTAAACCTGCTCCCGTCTCATTATTTTATATTTGTCCTCAGAAAGTTCTCCTCTCCTCCTCTGACCCTCTGACCCTCCTCTGACCCTCTTCTCCTCTGACCCTCTCCTCCTCTGACCTCTCTCCTCCTCTGACCCTCTCCTCTCTCCTCCTCTGACCTCTGACCTCTCTCCTCCTCTGACCCTCTGACCCTCTCTGACCCTCTCCTCCTCTCTCTGACCCTCTCCTCCTCTGACCTCTCCTCTCCTCTCCTGACCTCTCTCCTCTGACCCTCTCCTCTCCTCTGACTCTCTCCTCTGACCCTCTCCTCTCCCTCCTCTGACCTCTCTGACTCTGACCTCTCTGACCCTCTCCTCCTCTGACCCTCTCCTCCTCCTCTGACCCTCTCCTCTCTGACCTCTCTCTCTCTCTGACCCTCTCCTCCTCTGACCCTCTCCTCTCTCTCTGACCCTCTCTCCTCTGACCCTCTCTCTCCTCTGACCCTCCTCTCCTCCTCTGACCCTCTCCCTCCTCTGACCCTCTCCTCTCTCCTCTCCTCTGACCCTCTCCTCTCCTCTCTCTGACCCTCTCTCCTCTGACCTCTCTCTCTGACCTCTCTCCTCCTCTGACCCTCTCCTCTGACCTCTCTCTCCTCCTCTGACCCTCTCTCCTCTGACCCTCTCTCTCTGACCCTCTCTCCTCCTCTGACCCTCCTCTCTGACCCTCTCCTCCTCTGACCCTCTCCTCCTCTGACCCTCTTCCTCCTCTGACCTCTCTCT